AAAACAAAAGCTGCTGGATTTTTTCAGTAAAATGGATTCAAGTGCAGGACTGAAACGAAAGATAACGAAAACAACCTATGACGAGCGTTCAGAGAAATCCGTCTTCACTTGGTTCCGGGACTTGGTTTTCCCAAGAAAGGAGCAAAGGAACTTTATTATCGCTACATTTTACGGACATTTTGAAGCATTTTTTAACATTCCAGCATGCAACATTTTTATTACAATGTATTACTGATTAAATAAAAATGTTTTTAATGACGTACTCTACATGTACTATTGTTTGATTTCATTACAGTCATGTGCGTTACAATTTGTGTGTACTTGAGCCTGTAAATTTGAGCACGCCCACACAAGATCGCATATCCGAACTGTTTGCATAACCGAACAAAAAGCATGTCCCCCTAACTGTCCGGATAATCGACGTTCTACTGTACATGAGATAGAAAAGTATATATTATATATATCACCATATCTAGATCTGTCAACAGATAATACATGAGATAGGAAAGTATATATTATATATATCACCATGTCTAGATCTGTAACAACAAAGATAATACCTGAAATAGAAAAGCATATATTTCAAAAATCAACCTATCTAGATCTTGTTTTAATTTATGAAATGCCTTGTGTCAGAATGAGAAATAGTTTTCACCTCCCATGTACAACAGGCATATAGATAATATTGGAATATGTTCACATGCCTAAACTATGTTACAGTACTTATTGCACAAAATACTTACCTAAGCCTTTCTGCCCAGGATTTTTGGCAAAATTAAATGTGAACTGGTATAAATCTTTAAATTTATTAGGATCTCTGACTTCATTTTCGAGCTGGTGAAATTTATTCTTGAGTTTGTCAGTTGAGTCACATCTGAAAGATAACAAACTAAAATTAAAGGAAACATAAAAATAAATATTTTCAGTTCTGTTTCCATGACAACTATTTTATAAGCACCAGTACATGTATTCTACCATGTTCTAAACTTTCAGCCAATTTGAAGTTCAACTTTTGAAGTTATAGATGAAATGATTTTCTCAATTTCTGACCACAGATTCTAGGCTGTCATACTCTACCCATAATCCTTTGCTGAAGAATCAAGATGGCAGATTACATAAATTGATGAAAAGTTGAATATCTAGAGAATGAAAAGTGATATAAAAAAACTGTAATTGCTTGTTCTTACATTTGCCGGGCTCTTTTATTTGGGAGTATTGTTGTTAGCCTTGACTTTCTCTTTAATCATGGTTGATCATGGCTGTCAAACATGTATCAAGTTGTATGATCAACTCTATAATTCTATAATTGAATTATTACTTTATAACATTTGAGATTTATTCAAACTCTATCCTTTCATCATTGGCTTTGTTCTTTGTAACGCTTCAAGACTTACCTAAAGGGAGAGTAGGAAATCAAACGAGCGGTGAACCGCAATCATCGCCACGAAGACGGAGGTCGGCAGTCACAGGCTGACCGCATTTTATGCAAATGTATGCATAGATTTTATGACCATGACTGACTGCGGTCGTGTATAGTAGGCTCGCATGGCAATTCACACTTATTGTCCATGAATGAACACAAAGGACTGGGAAATTGAAGTTCCAATGAAGAATTAAATAAATTTGGCTGAGCCAAAAGCTTTGAAACTAGTCTAGTTGTCAGAAGAACACTATTTTATTTGCCTGAGCCTTGGAGTGAAATTACAAAGCAATCCAGAAAAACATACTATAAAAATATGATCGCATTATTTTGTGAATATACATCATGCATGGTCTCAGAAAATGTTTAGAAAAAATAATGTTTCGCATAGACCAAATATAATCACGCAAAGCATAAATTCGATGTGTTTTAATACATTGGGGAGAGGTCACAATGTTGCACATGGACGTGAAGCAGAGGAGACATTTCTTGTTCACCGATCTACCGTTGTCAAATCAAACAAAAGGCTTGAATCAAGAAGGCTAATCTATTTTAAACTTCGCATGCTTTTCAAGCATAGACTTTATTTATTTGGTGATAAATACATGCATAACATACAAGCATATACTATTTTTTCACATAACAATTCATATACAGCATTGGATTTATGGATTTTTATTTCAATAAAATACATGGGGCCGATGATATTACCATATATTTCTATGTCAGCGATGATCGTAACCTGCTCGATTTATTTGAAACAAAGACTTGTACGTATTTCACACTTTACCAACAACCGCGGTTGCAACAGCACTCAGTGGCCACCGCGTAGAGACAAATAATTATAAGCAGTCCGCAGCTTTCCCTGGCGTTCCGCATAGAGCCGCGGTGATGACCATGGTGAACCGCCTGTTTGATTTCCTACTCTCCCTTTAGCTCTATTATTCAATGATTGAATTCTTACTTCGTAAAATTTGAGACTTACCCAAGATCTATCATTCCATCATAGAATTCTTTCTTAGTAAATTCACATTGCGTGGCAGCTTTGAGTTTCCATGCAAGTATTAACACTATTCTACTTGTTGGATCTAATGATAAATCTTCAATAAATTTTGCCACTCCCTCTGCCAAGATCTTGTCTTCTTCATGTGGATCTACAACAAAATAAGATGTATACAACAGTTAATAAGATGCAAATTAATTTTATAAAACCATGACCAAAATGTTGTATGAATTCTAGTGGTTATATTTACAATAAATGGTCCCTGATAATACTGTTAGTTAATCACAATGTTCAGTCTTCAGCATTCCAGAAAAATCGGTAGATATCAACACAAAATTACTGAATCTGATAAAGGTCTGTTCAAGTATCAAAGCAATCAGGCTGGAGTTTTTCAAGAATAAATCAATACAGTTACATGTCCTTATCTGTAACACTGTTTGAGGAATTATAGTTATGAAAATTAATTAGGTCACATGACTTCATTTGTACAAAGTAAATAATTAATATACGAGGATTTCACCCCTGAAGCAATTAAATCAGTGGATTTTCCAAAAACACCTACATACCAAGTTTCATTGAAATCCATTGAGTAGTTCTTGAAATAGTGGAACAGAAATACACATACATATACAGACATAAATATATATATTGTATTGAATACAAATCCGCAAACAAAACAATGTACACCAGTAAATAACTCTGTGTATACTTGTACTGCATTACAATAATCATGATAGAATGACACTACCATAATACTTTATTTTAGCTGGAATTAATTTTTGCTCAAAGGACATTTTGGCTGTCTTGAATAAAGTATATTTTCACTCGATTTAATTTTCATTGATTCAATACTTCAGCGAAATAAATTCCAGGTAAAAATAAAATAATTTCCAGTATTGGAATAGAATATTTTAGGATAAGTACTCTAAATTTACAATAGCAGAATGTTTTTTATTACAGGTGAAAACACAAATTTAAATACAGTATTAAGAAGTATACCAATTAACAATAACATTTACAGAGTAGTTTTATATCAATAAAACATAACTGCAGTATCTGAGTAACTATTATTAGACACAGTAAAGTTACAATGTGTGAGGCCTTGACTTTTGACTCAACACAAATCATTACAGTCATAACAAAGCAGTTTATTATTGTATGTCTATTGTACATACCCTAGAGTCATTACAAAAAATACAATTTTTTTGGCGTTACTGGTTTTCAGTGACTCTGAAGTACAGGGTTATTTTTTTCCTGTGTGTTTTTTGACAAATCTTAGTAACATTAGGAATTGTGAATTATCACATCACACACTAGACCCTTTTAAGCAGTATACCACTTTTATTGAGAATGATAATGGAAAATTAAAATGATATATTGAATTGGATCCAAAGGAGATTGTTTGCCAACTAAATTTGTAGGACATTATCACAAATACATTTGTAGTTGTTAAACTGGTAGCTGTGTAGAGCCTCCAGAAACTGGTAGCTGTGTAGCCAGACATAAGAAAATCAAGCATTATATGACATATGATGTCACTTTTACAGAGGTTCACGAAATTATGTTTACAATGAACTAATACAGGGGTTACCACCTGATATCACTTGTTTGTATAGCAGACTGATGTGAGTGACATCATGGGATAGTAATAAAACAACCCATGACGAAACCAGAATCAACCAGCTCAATGAATAAGTAATATAAGATGATAACTTATTTATCACATGATCAACTCTGAATTACAAAAGGATTTGACGAAACTAGGCTTTACAAATCATATGCTAATTAAGACAATAACTGAACTATAGCGATGTATATATTCTCAGGAAGATGGAATGCAGCAAAATTCAACTTTATCTGCTCAAGTAATTACATTAAGGAACAACTGAAAAACTTTTTTTTTTAATAGGAGTCATTACTGGGAGTTCTCCCAGTTTTCATATATAGTTAAGATTGATCGAGTTAACAATCGTGTTCAGTTTTTTTAGTTAAAAGTTTAAAGAAAATTCTTGAGGCTTTATTGAGGTCTTGGAACTATGATGTGAAAAATATGATGCCCTGTTCAATATGAGACCATAGCTACTGTGTACGTACACATGTACAGAATAGATTTGTTGAAATGTAAACATGCGCTTGTGTAACAACCTCATCCCTCTTATAATTGGTTCAATGACAATTCAGCTTTCATTGACTTTTAATTCACAGTAAATGAACTTCAGTACTGTATTTATTTATGAATAATCTGCTGGACAATGTTGAAATTTAATGTCAATTTGGGTTTCAGTAAAATAAAAGTAATATTACTACAAATATAGCAACGTTCTGACCAAACTAGTCACATGACCTGCTTCAATAAATCTGGTCGAAAAACAAGCATAGGTACATTATAGTTGTCAATATGATTCAGTAGATATTGTGTAGATAGAAATGCTACCTCCGGCATTGATGAATCGGAATTAGCAGCAGTTAATTATGCATATTTACTGGCAAGTATATTAAAAAACATTCCATATTTTGGAAAAATTCAATTCGTGCTGATCCTTGTACGATATTCGGTGAGGTTGATTCACTGGAAACTGAACTTGGTAAAGATTTGTGACTCCTACTGCAATAGCAACAAACGTTGATGTCAACAACTATCGTTTAATGGAAGGGTTTCTGCATCACAGACTCATTCTTCCAACAGCTGCGACCTCACCTCAGAAGCAGTCATACTAGGTTTGTAAGGCTTCAAACGTATTCCACTATATGAGGAGTTGAGCGCATCCAATCCCTGCTAGATTTTCTTGGTGAGACATATCAGACTTGCAGCTCTAAAGCGGTTAACTATATGCGTAAAGTCAAATACATGACCATAGTCAAAGATGAATCTCTTGAAAGACTAGTTCCGTCTAACAAAAGGAAAATTATTTTCCAAAGATGTTCGCATCTTGTCTTTTAACATTTTGCCAGTAGGTAATAAGCATATACGTACGTGCAAGTGTAAACTTCGATGGGATAGCCCTTTCAGTCTGGGGTTACAGTGCGGATACATTGGCAACAGTTTGTGGAAAAGGGAAAAAATCCATGTGATCTGCAAATTTGCAAAATAAAATGACTGCAACAAGCTGGTTCCATTTTAGGTCAAAATATGTATTTGCCTGGTGTGTTTGCATACAAACCAGTTCAGTTGCTTTCATGTAGTTAATATGACACTTTTTTATGACATTTATGTTGGAAGGTCAAATGATATCAACTCAATATTTAAATAGCGTGACACCACACTAAAAATGTAACATACTACTATTGGTGAAAAGTGGTTACTAGTAATTGTCACCATTTATATATAATTGTCATTTGCTTTTATGGAGATAACAAACATTTGAAGTTGTTATATGCCTATGGTTTCTAAATTCAATGGTAGTTGACTAAATGTTGTTACTCACAAATATCTGGTGGCCGATCACGTGACAAATACTAGATTGGCTGGTTTGTTTACTTTGCCGTGAATCATTTATAATGACCGTGATACCAGGATGTGCTATTATTTTAATGTTTAAAATTACCCCACTTATATACACTATAACGGCTGAGTTGTATCCTTAATGACAATCTCTCTTACCCATATTAGCTAGTACGATAGACAGAACACTGTCTTTGACGTGAAAGATGTACCAATGCAAATAAACACAGCTCACGGGAGAACACTGCCATCACTTGGTGCTTCCTTGACCTAAATGTCCCCGAGACAAGACAATGTTGATACAAACCTTTATATCGATTAAATAGCCTCTCTAGACATTTTCTGTCGACTGCCGCTTTAGGCTCTTTGTAATAGACTTCCGGATTTTGGAAATAGTTATCGGATGCTACGTCTAACTTCCAATCGTGTTGTGACAGACAGTATATTGCAGTTTTTTCACCAGTGTTCGTAAATACAACAAACTGCCTTACTTTCTCCCTCTGCGATGATTTCAACTTGTGCTGATAAGTACAAACAACCAGAAGGAGTATTAACTCAAAATATATGAGCGATCAACGTAAATGAGTGTGCAAATCTCAAAATTTCCTGGAATGTTGTTTCACTTACCATGTTGTAAAGTTTGCAATGAAAATTGTATAAAGTCAACTGAGCATGCGTCATATTTTTTCATTTTTTTCCCATCAAGCAGTGCAAAGCACGGCCTCGTTCAAAAACATTCTTTCAATATTGCATAAACTATGTGATTAATCGAATACTGTGTATTTTATTTGTCAATTATACTCGTTAATTTGTTAATAAATTGTATTAAATATTAAAATTACAATATCATTAGTTGCGTGTGTTTTAGAAACAACAATATTATAATGATCAATAAACTGTCATGGCCTGAATATATCCACCATCTTGAATCCTTTCAGGTCGGCTGGAACTATTTGTTATGCTCTGATTTATTACAATTTTCACTGTCATTGCATACTCTAGAATTTAAATACTTTTCACCAGTAGCAATGTGGTGGGAAATCTTACCAAGTTTTGTAATTATAACTGGAATGATGACAATTGCGGGTCTGTCAAATGAAGTTTTTCAAAGGTTACAGAACGGTGGGAAGGTAAGCTTCTGCAGCACTATTATTTCGCACGTCCACATCCGTACATACTAGGGTACACCAGGCCTGGTAGTGGAATAATGCACAATTGGCCCTGAACTCACTAATGAAGCAATCGTTGCAGAACGTTCACGCATAGAGTTCAAATTTATTGTGCAGGTATACTGTGAACTCCTGGTCAACGTATCCATCTATACTGTAGTACTGTATGCGTTTTTGGTGATGAATTCTGTTTTATGCCGTTGCAGATTTGTTATTGAGAGTAATATTTCAACAAATGAATGTTATTACCATAGAGGGCAGAGGTGGGCCCCGTACACATACCATTATGTGCAATTCATTTATTTAGCGGCAAACTCGCACAAGATTCGTCGAGCAGACAAGTAACGTCACATGAATACTGTCTAATAGCAGAGAGCATTGTTCTGTAACTTTGAATAACATATCAGTTGGAATAGTTGCCCATCTTTTTTGTCATGGCAACAACCAATCGCAGTGTCACTCACCAGGGTTACTTTGTTATAACAATAATGAATAATATTTTGTTTATTACATTACAAAACAAAAATGTTGTAGGATATTTGTTTGTTTGTTGATGTTGTGCTCCCTGGATCCCATGAGAATAATACTGTACCATTTGATGTAACCAATCACCACCTATGAAACATTCAGAAACTAAATAGAGTATTAATGTTATCAGAGCATGCCTCTGTGAATTGCTGAGATATGTCTATGGTCAAAGTAAATTGTATTTTAATGATTCAACATGCCTAAACACATTTTGTTTTGTTTAGATACTCTCCTATTAGGGAGCAAATATGGTAAAGTGCTGTATGTGTTCCCACCACAGTATACATGTTTTTTGGCATTGGTTAAGACTAAGGTTTTGTTGTTTGATACACATTATTTCACAAATAATTATAACTTTTCCAATTTTTCAAACTCAAATCGTGCCAAACTTTAAACAAACTCTTTCAATCTTCCATTTTGCAGCTTAAAAGAAAAGCTAATTGTGGCTGGGACTGGGACATGTATAAACGAGATGAAAGAATTGCTGGAAAAGTTTATAAAACAAAGGTTAGTTACACATTTTTTATATGTTCTAAATTAAGTCAGCAGGATTTGTTTCACATAATACAGCTTCTTGGTTATAATATTTTTCATTGTCTGGTTGGTCAAAAGACATACACTTGAAGTTGTTCGTTCTCATTTGACTATTCAACATACATATTTACTAATTGTACTAATTACTAATTGTCTACATAATAACTGATACAAACTGCTTTGGATTCAATATTTCAGGGTCTAGAAAATCTTGCTGATAATTAGAATGGGAGACCTAGATGGCTAGTTTGGCTGGAACCTCTGTGTTTGCTTTAGTGGTTGTTGGACACTTGTAGATAAAGAAGGATACTCAATAACAAATCTTAAATACAAAGTGTGCTTTTTGAAATCAAATATGTCAAACTTGTTTTCTTCCCAGTAATGTATATTATATATCTTAGTGAGATGCCATTAAATTTAGTTTGAGTCTTTTGATGAAATATCAGTTGTTGTTGTGAGCACATTTGCATAATACTTTTAAAGTTATCAGCAAAACATTGAACATTGTCTGATAATTGGTGCTACACCATAAAACAATTATTCAGCTGTTACCACTGAATAGCCAGTGAACATTATTAGATACCCCAGTAAGTATAGAAAGTCACTAGCCAATTTGAACAAAGTCAGTGCTTAACACATCCACAGGAATACACATTGCTAACAAATATAAATAAAGAAGGTACCAGTAATTTCATACCAATATCTTGTGTAAAATCTTGTTTCACCTACCACGCTATATCTCAGGAGCAACTTGGATTGGAATGAAACTTGTTACACAGCTACTATGACATGAATACCAGACCTGACTAGATTTTGGTATAATCTATGCATGCAAATTAGGTTATTTGATTAATAATCAGTTTTAGCATTTCATCGTGTAACTTTGCATCAGGTTAATTTTGTACATATTAATTAGAATTTCCTTGAATGGATCTGAATTGAGTACATGGATGGTTTTTGTCTGGATAAATGACTGATCATACAGTGTACATCTTTAGCTTCTACATTACTAGAACTGACAACTCATTACGAGAGGTATTGAAATCAGCCTTGGGGAAGATTTAAAAAAAAGAATCTACTGTTGAATTACTGTAAAAAAAATTCCATGTGCATTTGATAGAAGGAGCAAACATT